CACTCACTCACTCATCCAATTCCCCAATCACTCACTCACTCACTCACCTAATCATCCAATTAGCCACTCATCCACTTACCCAATCACCCAATTACTCACACACCGACTCAGCCAATCGTACCCTCACCCAATCACCTACTCACCATATCTGAAGAAGGGTCTCGGCCTGAAACGTCAGCTTTCCTGCTCCTCTGATGCTGCTTGGCCTGCTGTGTTCATCCAGCTCTACATCTTGTTATCTCACCTCCTCACCCGATCACCAACTTACATCCAGTCATTAAGTTACTTACTGAAAGATAGACAGCTGTAATAATCTGACTTGAAAACAGCAGCTGCTATGGTGATAGAGGGGTGTGTCTGCCTTTCCTTGAGTTTTTTGACCTCTCTCTGGACATCTGTGCTGACTCATTGATGTTTCAGAAGCTCCTGCTGAAAAAAATCACAAAATTTCCTATTTACAGGAAGCTGCACAGGAGGCATTGCTGAAGACTATGAAGATTTAGGCCATTGTTCAAAATGTCAAAATTTCAGACCGTGCCTCCAGCAGAGCAGCTCTCAATTTTGCTCTGGCAGACTAGACTTTTCAGGAGCTTGAAATGTGTTTGAAAACTACAGGTTTCTGATAGAGAAGTGAGTATGCTACTACCTGAGCCATAGCTGAAGTTTTGCAAGTCTTTGGAGTGTAGTTCTAATGGACTATTGATTTTAGAATACTTGACCAATACAAGGCTACATTTTCTATTATTAATAATAACAGAAATGTTCTAAAGCTACATAGACAAGGCCGCAGTTATGGAGAAAGTAAGGTTACTGTTTCAGTGTAATGATCTGCTTTCAGGAGCCAGTTTTATTGTGGTATGATGTTGTAGGATGTAAATGCTGTGGAAGCAGTTCAGCGGAGGTTTACTCGACTAATGGGGGAACTGTCTTATGAGGAAAGGTTGGACAGTCTAGACTTGTATCTGCTGGAGTTTACAGAGTATGAAGTGACTTCATTGAAACATAAGGTTCTGATGGGTCTTGACTGGATGGATATGGAGAAGATGTTTCCTCCTGTGGGAGAGGCTAGAACTGCTTACAAATAAGGGGTCGTCCATTTAAAATAGAGACGAGGGAGAATATTTTGTGTCACAGAGGATTGAGAGTCTTTGGATGTCCTCAAAAGTTCATGGAAGCAGGACCTTTGAATATTTTCAAGGCAGAGGTGGACAGATTGCTGATGAGTGAAGGGGAGTAGGTAGCAATGTAGAGTAATCCATTTGGCCATGATCCTATTAAATGGCTGAGCAGGCTGGAGGCCTGCTAGTGCAGGCCTACTCCAGCTCCAACCCATAAGAACAAACATAGGTTTGATACGTCCAATTCAAACTGAGTAATTTTGATATATGATGTGTTTTGAGTAAATACCTACTTAACAAGATTTGCAGTTTAAACTGTGCTGTGAGATACTGCTTTCAAGTGCGTTAGTTAAAATACAATTTACTTTATATGGATGAGGACTTTTTGTTAAATTGGTGGACAGAAGAATTTCATATGTATTCTTTAAAGGCTGTGCAATGAATATTGCACAACACAATTTTGAAAGATTAGAATTCACTTTCCTGTCTTTATTATTATTAATCATTTGGATCGCTCCATTCTAATGAGCCTCTGTGCTTGATTGTATTCTGCAGTGGGAGGGTAGGACCTGAAAGCTTGGTGAAAGGGTCATAGTCTGCTGACTCATGGCCATCTGAAAAATTTAAAAACATTATCGTCTCTGCAAGTTTCTTAAATTGCGAAGTGTGGGATGGAACCAGGCTCATTTAACATGTGACTATACAGAAATAATGGTGAGGCGAATTGACAAGGACAAGGGAGACTTTACAAAAACAGCTGTAGTCATCAACTTGGTGAAGCTAAAGTGATAGACATCGCTTTGTGCATATTTATTGTTGCAACTTGCATTAACATTATACTTCCATGATACTGTTTACCCTCTTAGTTTTCTGTGATGTTAAGATATTTGAATTATATTATGTTTGTTACAGTTTCTTCTGATCAGCTATTTAAAGCAGTATTGTTGTAACTGGTCACACCTCAGTAGTATTGAGTAACGTTTACACACTAGCCGTTCTTACACCGAGAAGTCACCTGTGTGGTTATCAGACAAAATTTAATGTGGTTTTTAGTGAATTAGCACCTATGTATAAATAGATGTCACTTGTCACAGTTGTATGTAAGTCCCTGAAAAGCTCAATTTACCATAACTTGGTGGCTAACGGAGCTATTAGCGCGCTCAATATTTAACAAGTGCTGCCCAACTGAAGAGTTCTAACAGTGAATAAGTAAATTTGCCATAGTCCTACTGGATCGTCGGGCTGATCTCTCATGAGAGAGGGACAGCTGGTGGTGGTTTAATTTGAGGGTCACCACACCTTGGGCGAGGGGAGAGATTGAGACAGAGAGTCTTTCATGCTGCCCTCAGTTGGTGCAGGAATTGAACCTACACTGCTGACATCACTCTGCATCACCAAACTAACCATCCAGCCAACTGACCTCCTATCAAGGTAACAAATAGAGAAACCGAGCTGGTCTGGCACTATCAGTGGAGAGAGAGAAACAGAGTTAATGTCTCGAGTCCAGTATGACATCATCAGGGATAGATGAGAATGTGGAATTCAAAACATAAACTGATCAACCATGGCCTTATTGTGGGGCAGGGTTGAGGGGCTGAATGGTCTGTTACTTCCAAATCATATGTTTGTATGTTCAAATTATAAATAACTGGGGAAATGTTTTGTTTAATTAAATCAGCCAATCACTGGGACATACATGACCTATATATCTGGAATTGCAGTAAAACTGAAATCTTCCCTCATTTCCATTCATTTTTACCTGGTCAGGGCTGTGAAGAAAATACAAAACCTCTGGAAAAGGACATTCAATTATATTTAGATTCAAGTTAATTCTCTCAGTCAATGTCCTGTTGTGTTACAATGAGAGGTCCACCCTTCATCACTGCTTTTAGAATTCAGAAATAATGTCGGAACTTCAAGAATGTATGCTTTTGTATCCTTTCCACATTTTCTGACATCTCCGCCCTGCCTCGCCCTCTCCACATTCCACCTCCACACCACCCTCACCATGTCCCCCTCACACATTCTTCCACCATACCCCCTCCCTGTCCTTACATCTTCCAGCCTTTATTTTCCTCCCAGTGAAATTCTAGTGCGAGGTTTGAGCACAAATCTCCAGGCTCACACTCCAGTGTGGTACTGAGCAATGGTTGCGCTGTCAGAGCCACTGTCCTTTTAGATGTTAAACTGTGGTCCTGTGCCCCCTTCCCCCACCCACGCTCCCCCCCACCCCCACCACCCTCACCAACACCACAGTGAGCAATGGTAAAAGTTCCCATGACACTAGTTTGAAGCACAGCAGTGTTGTCCCTGCGGTCCTGTATAAATCCAACACTTTCTTTCAAATTATCACCGTTTAGATAACGTCACCAAGTTTAAAAAAAAGTATCGCTGTTTGTGTGTCGATTATGTCATATACTCCTGTTTTCAAATGTATTTGCACAGTTTGTTTTGTCAGCAATTGCTTTTACACATTTCGGATGAAAACATCAGGTACAAGGGCCAATGCTGCCCTCTCCTCCCAGAAACGTTCATTGCCCATTACCCCATGGGCTCCGAACATCATCGAGGTGGTTGTGCCCTTCAAACCAGTGAGATCTGACTGTTTTTCTGCAGTAGCCTGTTGATTGTCAATCAGTCATTCATTTCCACTCAATTAATTCTGACAGGCAACCGGAATAATTTAACCCCATGAATTACTTTTGGGGAATACTGATTTACATCTTTTTTTCTCTCTAACTGTTGCTCAGCTTCTCCCATAATTTCACCAATTTATGTAAAGCCGCATCTGTGCACAAGTTACCCTGTCTCTCTCGATCTGTCCTCGCTTACCTTCTGGGAGTTGTTCTGCTTCCTGCGCTATTTTCCACGCAGTCTCTGTCTTAAAGCACTTTAATGGGTGTTCAAATGAGTCTGTGTGTCATTAGTATTCATTTGACATGTTATAGGTGATAATTGTATAACTGAGATGATTGCTCAGCCCTAACTTCCCTTGAAGCAACGTGTGTTAGGTCAATGTTTAAAATGCACTTTCCTTCATTCACTCACTGGATGTGACTGTTTCACCAGCAAAGCTCACAGTTATTAGTTATCCTTACTTGCTCTTAGAAATCTGGTGGTAAGCTAGGCAGGCCATTGCAGAGACTATATGAGTCAGCCACAGTGCTATCTATTGTTTATTTATTCACTCACAGGATGTGGGCGTTGCTGGCTGGCTCAGCAAATATTGCCCATCCCCAACTGACTCTGGAGGTGGTAGTGAGCTGCCTTCTTGAACTGCTGCAGTCCTGGGGTGTAAGAACACCCACAATCCTGACAGGGAGGGAGTTTGACCCAGAGACAGTGATATATTTCCAAATCAGAATGATGTATGGTTTGGAGGGGAACTTGCTAGTGTTCCCATGCATGGTCAGATATGCTGGTCCAGCAGATGTTGGTCACTATAGGGCATTAGTAGGGTAAGGCAAGTAAATCTGTAGAATTCTATCGGATCAGCCATCATTTCATTGAATGGCAGAGCAGGTTTGATGGGTTGAATGGCCTGTTTTCTATGCGTCATGCCCTACAGTAAATCAAATGGGGTTTTTAACAATTTGCTGGCTTCATGGTTGCTACCACTGAGAATTGATAATCTTTGGAGATACTTTTAATTAAATTCCCCAGCCATAGTGGGATGTGAACTGGTGTCTCTGGATCATTAGGTTAGGGTTAATAATCCTCATAACATCACCACTCCTGCTATTCCTGATCCAACATAGCTAATTTATTTATCATTTATAGCTAAAATGATAAGTCATTGACCAACGTGTTATGTCACAAATGATGTATGACTGACCCACCAAAAAAGGTTATAAACACTAGATTTATGTCATATTCACTTACATTTTACTTACTCAAATTAACAGGGGAACATCAGAGCAGGAATATGTTGTTTGACCTTTTGAGTCCATCCCACTATTCACAGACAAACAACCCTCTGAGAGAAAAAATATATCCATATTTCCATTTTAAAGGGAAGACCTCTTATTCTTAGACTATCCCTTCCAGATCCAACCTTTCACACAAGAGGCAACCCTCTCAGGAGCTACCCTTTCAACTCTGCTCAAACTCTTACAAGTATTTTATTTATCACTGTTCCTTCAGTTTCACTGGGTCCCTGTCAGGAATTCCCTCCCTAACGGCTTTGTGGGTCTATCTACAGCACACGGACTACAGCAATTCAAGAAGGCAGCTCACCACCACCTTCTTAAGGGCAACAAGAGACAGAAAATAAATGCTGACCACCAGCGATGACCCCATTCCATGAGTGAGTAAAAGAAAGTCTATATTTTTCTAAAAGCAATAGGTGTCAGCTCAATCTGTTAAACTTTTCTTTACACCATAACTTGCAAACAGGGCTACTTGCATGCCAAACAGCAAAAGCAGTAAGTGATAGACAGGGCAAAGTGATCCCATAACTAATGGATCAGATCTAAGCTCTGCAGTCCTGCCACACCCAGTCAGGAATGCTGGTGGGCAATTAAACAACTCACTGGAGGAGGAGGGTCCACAAATATCCCCATCCTCAATGCTGGAAGAGCCCAGCACATCAATGACAAAGATAAGGCTGAAACATTTGCAGCAATCTTCAGCCAGAAGTGCCGAGTGGATGATCCATCTTGGCCTCCTCCAGTGGTCTCTAGCATTACAGATACCAGTCTTCAGCCAATTCGATTCACTCCACGTGATATCAAGAAACAGTTGGAGACACTGGACACTGTAAAGGCTATTGGCCCTGACAACATTCCAGCAATAGTACTGAAGGCTTATCCCCCAGAATTTGCTGCTCCCTTAGCCAAGCTCTTTCAAACAGTTACAACACTGGTATTTACCTGACATTGTGGAAAATTGCCTAGGTACGTCCTGTGCGTAAAAAAGCAGGTCAAATCCAACCTGCCCCATCAGTGCACTCTTGATCATCAGTAAAATGATGGAAGGTGTCATCACTGTGTTATCAATCAGCACCTGCTCAGCAATAACCTGCTCAGTGATGCCCAGCTCCTGACCTCATTATAGCCTTGGTTCAAAAATGGACAGAAGAGCTGAATTCCAAGGGGAGGGGAGAGTGACAACCCTTGACATCGATTATGGCATCAAGGAGACCTACCAAAACTGGAACTGGGGACAAACTCTGCTGGTTGGAGTCATACCTGACACGCAGGAAGATGATCGTGGCTGTGGGAGGTCAGTCATCTCAGCTCCAGGACACCCCTGCAGAAATTCCTCAGGGTAGTGTCGTAGGCCCAACCATCTTCAGCTGCTTCATCAATGACCTTCTCTCCATCATAAAGTCAGAACTTGGGATGTTTGCCAATGATTGCACAATGTTCAGCACCATTCACAACTCGTAAGACATTGAAGCAGTTCATGTCCAAATGCACAAGATGTGGAAAATATCCAGACTTGGTGGCAAGTAACATTCATGTCGCACAAATGCCAGGCTTTGACCATCACCGATAAGAGACAACTTAACCTTCAACAATTGAAATGCAATGGTGTTACCATCACTGAATACCCCGCTATCAACATCCTGGAGGTTACCATTGACCAGAAACTCAACTGGACTCACCACATAAATACAACAGCTACAAGAGCAAATCAGAGACTAGGAATACAGCAATGAGTAACTCACTTCATGACTCCTCAAAACCTCCACCATCCAAGGTAATGGATGGTGTCCAAGAGCGTGTCCAAAGCACAAGTCAGGAACGGGATGGAACACTACCCTCTTGCCTGGATGAGTGCAGCCCCAAAAACACTCAAGAAGCCTGACAACATCCAGGACAAAGCAGCCCGCTTGATTAGCACCAAATCCACAAACATCCACTCCCTCCACCACCAACACTCTCAATAACAACAGTGTTTACTATCTACAGGATCCCACTGCAGAAATTTGCCCAACATCCTGAAACAGCACCTTCCAAACCCATGACCACTTCCATCTAGAAGGACAAGGGGAGCAGATACATGGGACCACCACTACCTGCACGTCCCCTCTGTGTCACTCACCATCCTGACTTAGAAATATATCACCAGTCCTTCAGTGTCACTGGGACAAAAATCCTGCAATGTCCTCCTTAACAACATTGTCAATTTGACTGCAACGTTTCAAGAAGGCAGCTCATCACCATTTTCTCCCGCCACTAGGGACAGACAATAAATGCTGGTCTACCCAGCATCACCAATGTCCCACAAGTGAATAAAAAAATCCCTTAATTCCCAGTTCTCTTTATCTAAATCATGAATATAGATTTTGAACTATATAGTGCCCTAATCCCTATGACTCCACCAGTTATCAACTTGCCAACCTGAAGATAATCCATTTATCCATTCCATGGATTCTGTCAGAACCAATCCTTCATCCATGTTAATATGTTACCTCTATGGCATCTAACTATACGGAGTTCCAAGTACACCACATCAACAGATTTCCCATTATCTACCCTACATGTTATTTCCTCAAAGACATCTAACAATGATGTTAACATGACTATTCTTTCACAAAACCATGGTGACTCTGCCTGATCCCAATATAACATTCTAAGTATCCTGCTCTAATCCCCTTAATGATGGATTCCTGCCATTTGTCTTTGATAGATTAAGGCTCACTGGTCCATTCTTTCCAACTTTCTACTTCCCTCCTTTCTTGAGTAAAGAAATAAACAATACATTGAATATGAATCTACAAAAATATTTCTCTGCTTTACTGAAGGAATCTCACATTGTCAAGGGGACTGTTTGTATTTCTGTCAAGCTGGGGTCATGTCTCCCATTTGAACGGTTCCATTCTGTTAAAGATCTGACTGCATTATTGAGGGAGGATCAATTAAATTTTCCATTGTCCAGTCTTGGCCACCATTCCTCCGTCAGCAACTTAGGTGGCACAGTAGCTCAGTGGTAAGCACTGCTGTCTCACAGTGCCAGGGAGCGAATACATCCTCAGACAACTGTCTGTGTGGAGTTTGCATATTCTCCCTGTGTCTGTGTAGGTTTCTTCTGGGTGCTCTGGTTTCCTCCCACAGTCCAAGATATGCGGGTTAGGTGGATTGGCCCTGCTAAATTGCCCATAGTATCCGGGGATGTGCAGGCCAGGTGGGTTCATTATGGTAAATGCAGAATTGATCAATTGCTACTTGTGGGATCTTGGTCTGTGTTCGATCACTGGAAAATTTCTCAATGTTACAAGAATATTACAAATTGACTTTGTTGTAAAGCATTTTGAGAGTGTTTTGGAATGTACCAATGACTGGGATGTATGTAAATTTTTGTCTTCAACTTTTCTCCACATCTAATTTTTAAGGCACATTAAAGATGCGTTTCAATTGGATGTAACTCAGTCTAAATAACCTTCTAACTTTCCATACCATTCTCCCAGAGAGGAAGGAGTGAAGCAATGCAAGCCAAATAAACCTTTGCTGCACAGGTATAAACAGTGAGGGAAATGGAACATAACACCTCTAAATATTACAAGAATATTTCTTTCCCCTTCTGCAGACAATGCCAGTCTCACTCCTCTCCACTCCCACCTCAATAGCTTTCTGCTGTTGATTGTATTCCTCACACTGCTTTCCTTTCTGTTTCTTCATCTGTGGGACTGAACTGAAATCATGAATAGGTACATTCTGTTTGCCATAATTTCTTACAAACACAGAAAAAAAAATCAGAAAGTTTTGCCTTCAATTAACAGTACAAAATGAAAACATTTACAAAAGTATTTTCTTTCACGCTGTATGGTATACAGTTTCCAAATGAAAATTTTTATTTCTTTCTGTAAACATCAGTTTACAATAAGAACCTTGAGCTCTCTGACTGTGAATTCTCTGCGGTCAATTCCCTTGTGTAGTCTTTTATTCAATCCATGCTAGTTTATAATCGGTAAAAGGCAAGCATTCAAAAGTATCCATCAGTGATGTTGTAACGATGATTAAGATCACCCTTATTAAGTGGGAGTCTTGGGTCTCAAACTCATTTATGACTCCTGCTTATGCATAGTGATGAGATTCAGAGCAACTAAAAAAATGCAAAGTCTGAAATTGTTTTACTAAATTGTGTGCATACATATCATTTAGGAAAGATATACCAAGGCCTTAAAAGCCCTTTTGGACAGTTCAGAAAGATCCCACAGTCCTATTTTGAAGTGCAGGGGAGTTATCCTACTGTCTGGTCAATTTTTATCCATCAAGCTGTGGGACATCTCTGCAGGAGTTCCTCAACCATCTTCAGCTGCTTCATCAATGACCTTGCCTCCATTTTAAGATCAGAAGTGGGCATGTTCGCTAATGATTGTACAATGTTAAGCATCATTTGTGACTCCTCAGATACTGAAGCAGTCCATGCCCAAATGCAACAAGATCTGGACAATATCCAGGCTTGGGCTTGGGCAAGTGACATTCATGCCACACAAATGCCAGGCTATGACCATCGCCAATAAGAGACAATCTAATCACCACCCCTTGACATTCAATGGTGTTACCATCACTGAATCCCCACTATCAACATCCTGGGAGTTATTATTGATCAGAAACTCAACTGGACTCACCACATAAATGTAGTGTCTACAACAGCAGGTCAGAGGCTAGGAATACTACAATGAGTAACTCACCTCCTGACTCTCCAAAGCCACCATCTACAAGGCACAAGTCAGGAGTGTGATGGAATACTCCCCACTTGCCTGGATTGGTGCAGCCCCAACAACACTCAAGAAGCTTATCACCATCCAGGACAAAGCAGCCCGCTTGATTGGTACTACATCCACAAGCATCCATTCCCTCCACCACTGATACTCAGTACCAGCAGTATGTACTATCTACAAGATGCGCTGCAGAAATTCACCAAAGATTCTGAGACAGCGCCTTCCAAACCCATGACCAATTCCATCTAAAAGGACAAGGGCAGCAGATACCTGGGAATACCACCAGTTTCAAGTTCCTCTCCAAGCCACTGACTCTCCTGAGCAGCGTTCCTTCACTGTTGCTGCGTTAAAATCCTGGAAGTCCCTTCCTAATGGCATTGTGGGTCAGGCCCCAGCAGTTGGACTGCAGCAGTTCTGTAAGGCAGCTCACCACCAACTTCTCAAGAGCAAATAGGGACAGGGTAATAATTGCTGTCCAGCCAGCAACAGCTACACCCCACAAATGAATTTTAAAAATCAATTTAGCAATCAATATCACAATTTCAGATTGACTAGTCATTATCCCATTGTTATTTGTGGGAGCTTGCTGCTACATCTCCAATATTACAATTGCATCTACCCGTCAAAAAATCTCTAAGTTCTAAAGAAGGGTCATGACATCCGTAACATGGACTCTGCTTTCTCTCCCCAAGGACCTGCTGAATTTCACCAGTGATTTCTGTTTTTGTTTCAGATTTACAGCATCTGCAGTTTTTTTTTCAAAAATACTTCACTGGCTGTAAAAGAGACAACCGATGGAAGGCGTTATATTCACAGGTACAGCACCTCATATTTCGCTTGAGAACCCTGCAGCCCAATGGTCTCAATGTGGACTTCACAAGCTTCAAGATCTCCCCACCCCTTACCGCATCCCAAAACCAGCCCACCTTGTCCCCGCCTCCTTGACCTGTCCATCTTTTCTCCCAACTATCCACTCCTCCCACCTCACTGACCAACCCCCACCCCCACCTCCTACCTACCAGCCTCATCCCCGCCTCCTTGGCCTGTCCGTCTTTTCTCCCACCTATCTGCTCCTCCCACCTCACTGACCAACCCCCATCTCCTCCTCCTACCTACCAGCCTCATCCCCGCTTCCTTGACCTGTCCGTCTTCCCTCGACTGACCAACCCCCACCATAACTCCCTGCCTACACTCACCTTTACTGGCTCCATCCCCGCCTCCTTGACCTGTCCATCTCCTCTCCACCTATCTGCTCTTTTATCCACCTTCCATCTGCCTCTCCCTCTCTCTCTATTTATTTCAGAATCCCCTTCCCCTCCCCCATTTCTGAAGAAGGGTCCAGACCTGAAACGTCAGCTTTCCTGCTCCTCTGATGCTGTTTGGCCTGTTGTGTTCATCCAGCTCTACACCTTGTTATCTCAGATTCTCCAGCATCTGCAGTTCCTGCTATCTCTCTCCATCTCATATTCACGCATGTTTCTTTTCATTGTGCAGTTTCTACATCTTCTTTCCATTTTAGAGGCACTGAAAGTATTTCTTGGACAGCAGGTTAAAGATCACTGGCATGCAGAACTATGATTAAATTACCTAAAATCTTTATAATCCCAAAAATCTCACAAATGATATCCTAAACCATTAATAATATGGTAGTTTTTGTGGTCCAGGATGCCTAATAATCCTGGTAGAGCCTTCTTCCTCAATGAACAGCTTCACACTCTTCTAAACTATTATTTTCGGTCATTTCAACTTCCTTAAAGCATTAAATTTGAATAATATTCAGATTGTTTTACCAATTTTATGAGCTCGACATGTTGAATCACAGGTACCTCAAGTCATTCATTATACTTTAAAATAAAAACATCCAATTAGTAGTGGACGGTAAACTCGGATATAATAGTCAACCGAGATTGTGAGCAATGACATTAAAACTATATTTTTCAGTTGTCACTGTAGAAGAATACTGATTGTCTGCACGTTCTGAAAACGGAGATGATTCTATCACCCATTTCAGCTGCGGGAATTCATTAATCCAATTCTAACACTTACAGACCAAAAAACATTTTCTCTTGGAAGCCATTAATGTTGCTTAATCTACAGCATGATGCTTGTTAGTACAGTGTATAGCTGTTAATGGGCATGCTGTTGATAGGAATTGGCTGAGAAGAATATTAAGTCTGAAACCAGTTTTGTCACCTGTACATGCTGCAGTATTTTTCTCTTAAGAGCAGCTACACAAAAGCGCCATTGTCATGAGGACCCTCTAATTAAGAGTCTCCTACTCCTTATGAATGTTAAACAGTTGCGTGGAAAAGTAATCATTTAAATTTAGGATACAGTGCCGGCTCAGACTCATTAAATACAATAAATTTTTAGTGAGGTGCTCAACCTATTAAAGGGAGAGTGGACTCTGCTTTCAGCAGTAATTTCTACTACATTACTGATAAACCCCTGAAGGTAGAGTCATGCTTTTACATAGGGGCCTCCATACTGGACATAATCATCACTGAGTGGTCAATCTTCATGTTGCAAAATTTGTTTTGAGTTTGTTTATAAGCCTAACATATCTTGGCAGAAAGAAAGCTGCAGCTTCAGAAACACAGCCAAGATTATATTCAGATTTGGATTCATTCATTTTTATAAGATCTTTGATTATCATCCACTTTTGCGGCGAGATGAATATTTGGATAATTCTGTGCATCTGAAGTCCTCAATTAACATTTCAAGACTGTCCCAATCTTCAAAGATTCGGCAGACACCACATCCTAATGCCTTACCCCCACAATCCACCCCCCCTACCCTTCTCTGATGAGCTCTCCTGCAGATCTGTGATATATTTCTGTGTAGGAGTCTCCTTAATGGTGAGTGCAGCAGCTGGAGTTACATGTTGGAGAAATCTGCTTCACTGCTGCTCTAGCTGAAAGAAAAATAGATGTTGAGGTCACCTGAGGCGACATCTGAATGATGCAAGAGTACTGCACACAATGGGATGACTGACATACATTGGAAGAATCACTGTGCAGTGCGCTAGTCTGAGAAATGTGGGATTGTCTGACATAAAGCCTAGGCTCCAGCCAGCTTTGCCTGCAGACGCAATGACTGAGTCTTTGAGCTGTAGTCCAGCTACTCACTCGTCAGTCACTGAGGGATTGATTTGAAATGTTAAAGTTTTTCTTCTATACTGCAGGGTCAGGAATAGCACGTGGTGTATCTGAATTCTTTTCAGAATCTGAGCTCAATAGCTTTACTGGAATCAATTTTCTGCTTCCATTAACCTCAGATATAGGATACAAACATAGACTTACAAACAAATAAAATAAACTGAAAAAAAGACATAGAAATTGATGAAGAACTCAGCAGGTCTAGCGGGATCTGTGAAGAGAAAACAGTTAATATTTCAAGTCCAGTGACCCTTCTTCAGAACTGGTGATCAGGTTTGGCATAAATCAGTGTTTAATATATATTTATTAATATCTCCTTTTATTACGAGTACAATATTTATATACAATCATTTCCTTATGGTAATGATGTTCGAGGACCCCAAACACACCACTAGTTTCTTTCCTCACTCTTCAATGAGATGTGAGCATCACTGACAAGACCAGCCCAACTCAATTTTTCCTTTCTTATTCAGAGTCAACCACATTGCTGTGGGTCTGGAGTCACATGTAGGCCAGATCAGGTAAGGATGGCAGTTTCCTTCCCTAAAGGACATTAGTGAACCAGATGGGTTTTTACAACAATCAGTGATAGTTGTCTGAGTATCATTACCAAGACCAGCTCTACATTGCAGACTTACCAACTGAATTGATCTTCAGGAAAAAAAAGCTTCTTCTCATTGTCCATCTTAAAAGGAAGATTTCTTATTCTGAAATGGTGTCCTGTAGTTCTAGTCTCCTGCATAGGATGGATACAGGAAGATGTTTCCTCTTGTCGTACCCCCTCAAGTTTGGATATGTGTTAGGAAGAATACTTGTATACCCCAATCAGTACAGGCCTGTGGCTGCTCAACCTTGTTTCAGAAGATAAGCCTAGATCCTGGAACGAATCAAAGGAAGAGAGGCACAGAACCATGCACCCCTGGATTGATTTGTTGCAAGCCGTGAGGGGCCATGGATCAGGCTGTAGACTTGCTCGCGGAGCTGGTGAGTTTGTTTGCAAATGTTTCGTCACCCTGCTCAGTAACATCGTCAGTGCACCTCCGGTGAAACGTTGGTGTTCTGTCCCATTTGTTACTTATATGCCTCGGTTTGCTGGGGTGGTTGGTATTACTTTCAGTTCTGTTTTTCAGTGGTTTGTATATCAGGTCTAATTCAATGTGTTTGTTGATGGAATTCCATTTGGAATGCCAGGCCTCCAGGAATTCCCTGGCATGTTTCTGTTTGGCTTGTGCTATTATAGGTGTGTTGTCTCAGTCGAACCCATATCCTTTTTTGTCTGTGTACACTGAGACCAGTGAGAATTGGTCATGTCTCTTGGTGGCTAGTTGGTGTTCGTGTATCCTTATTGTCAGTTTTCTTCCCGTTTGGCCAATGTAATGTTTCATTGGATTGATTCTGTTCCCTGCAGGAGTGAGGAGAAAACATGCCTACAGAAATGAGCAGCTTGGCTTGGATGTTGCAGGGGATGTCTGTCACAGTAGTGGGGGTGGGGAGCAGTGTACATTTCTGGGTACGGTGCCTCAAAGAGATCAAAGACTTCCTCAGGGGACAGGAGTCCATTGGCCCATTCAACAACATCTGGATGTCGATCTTACCACAGCTCTCGCTCACTCTGCCTTTCCAGTCCTTCTTTTGCACCTTTACACCTCAGACCAGCATAGTTTATGAATGTACCATTTCTCTGTATCTACCTACCTGTTCATCTGACCATCATCACTAGCATTCACCCTCATGCTAATGAAATGTCACACTCAACCTTCACATTGACTTTTATCTCCTTCTATACTCTCTGAACACTCTATTTTTCACAAATAGAGGTCTCTTTTCCCCCTGTGTGCAAAGGAAGAGTTCACAGAACAGCAGTTCTTTCCAATTTGACACTGCAGAGGAGGTGGTGCTGCAGATTAACAGAGTCATAGTACACATGGCCATTAGTGATGGAGAACTGGGGATCCCCCAATAACCTGTGACAGAATAAATATATCATGCAGTCATATGGTCTGTGAAATATTTGTTATTGATCCTAATTCTTAGAAATACAGAAGAAGTCATATTCCAAGCCATAAACCTGGCTTGATAGACCATAAGTTTTGTTTTTACAATTTGGTTACTGTGGTAGTCAGTCACAGAATGTTTTCACCTGACTTAGGAGGGAAATGATTTAGAAGGCATTTAGAATGTTTGCATTCATTACTCAGACCTTTGAAATTGGGAGTTGGGAAATTCTATTGAGGTTGTACAGGACGTTGGTGAGGCCTCTTCTGGAGGATTGAGTCCGGTTCTGGTTGCCTTGTTATTGGAACGATATTATTAAGCTGGAGAAGCTTCAGAAAAGATTTATCAGGATGTTGCTGAGATTAGAAGGTTTGAGTTACAGGGAGAGGCTGGATAGGCTGGGAGCATAAGAGGTCAAGGAGTGACCTTATAGACGTTTTTAAAATCATGAGGGAACTAGATAAGCTGAATGGCAGGTGTCTTTTCCCTAGGGTGGAGGATTTCAAGACTAAAGGGCATATTTTTAAGGTGAGAGGAGAAAGATTTAAAAGGGACATGAGGGGCAACGATTTTACACAGAGAGTGGTTCATGTGTGGAATGAACTTCCAGAGGAAGTGATGGATGCGGGTACAGCTGTAAAGTTTAAAAGAAATTTGGATAAGTACATGAATTAGAAATGTTTGGTGGGAATTGGCCAAGCGCAGGCAGGTGGGATTGGTTTAGGTTGGGATTGGTTTAGTTTGGGATTATGGTCGGCATGGACTGATTGGACAGAAGGGAGTGTTTCCATACCGTCTGATGCTATGACACTTTGACTCTATGACTTGTCAATGTACTTTAGCAAAGAACATAAGTTTATTACACAAACGAGAAAGAAAATCAAAGTTATTGGAAAGATCTTATCATGAAACCACTTAGGCTAAGTCATTGATTTTCATACTGAGCTCTTAGAAATAGACACAAAGTTTTGATGCTTTTAAGCTACCAAACTGCTGATATGGTATTTTGTTCTGAGCTGCCACCTGCTGCTGGGCCTGGGCCTTTCCTTCTGCAGGTCATAAAAGCTCAAGCCAAGAATAATCAATATTATCTCACCAGATAGCTTAAGTCACATGATTTCTTAGAAAGGCTTACTGTTCAAAATGACTTTCTCACCATTTCCTTAAAAAAATCACTCATTTACAACACAAGAAACCAAAAACCCATTTTGTTTTACTTTAGAATCAAAGTTGCCAAACAATAGCAATAATATTATAAACCTTCATCACCAATCACATAGTCACATCGTCTACAAAATATCACACAGTTATGTGATTTATGAAATATTACATTGCATCATTCATAAAATATCACAGCTATGTGGTCCATTCAATATCAGATTCACATGGTCTGTGAAATTTCACAGTCACATGGTATGATGCACTCACTCATTGTGACCAATTGATTGTCAAGCAAGAAATGAAAAATAACATGTGAACAATAATGACTTTGTACCCTCTTACCCTGTCAGTTCTGATTCCTGTCTTTCCTCTCTCGCACACCCTTCAAGTATCTTCATGAAGTGATGCAGGAGGAACTTATTGTATCTCCAGTTACTGTCAGCACCAGCCTATGATGTGCGTAGTTCACTGCCACTCACCCTCCTTTCTCTACACAGAGTCTAGGGTCTACCTAATGATCAGTGGTAGAAGATAGGCTACTCGTGAGGAAGCACTTGTCTCATTTAACAAGGTAG